CGCCCCGAGGCCTTGGCAAGGGGCGGCATAGAAATGTTTTAATAAATAAATAAATGTATACTGATGCTATAATAAACATTTATTGTTGTCAACATAAGGTGAAATATAATAATGTACAGAGAAATAGCTTTGGCTTATTCTTATCAGTATCCTTACCATTATTCTCTTCCACTCTGTTGTGTCACATGCCTGATGGCACATTGTTTGATCCATTGTGCTCTTCTATCAGAATTTAAGTTTGATCCTGGATGCTCGAAAGTAGGCTCTTAATTTTTCATATCCAGTAGACTTTTTTGAATGGTTTCATTGTTCAATTGAGAGGATAGTAATAAAGCACATACTTAGTATACTAAAGTCCCCAGGTTCAATCCCTGTCATCTCTAGTCCAATGAGGGTTGGAGAGCCAATGCCTGTCAATGACAAAGATACTGGGATAGATGTTAGTCTAGTATTGCTATGTGGAAGCTTCCTGTGTTCCTAAGTTTCTTTGAAGGGGTAAATGCGAGCATCGTCCAACTAGTGAAACACCCAGAATGTTAATCATTCAATGAAGTGGAAGTGTCTTTTTGATTAAATGTTTGTAAGCTTGTGGTATGTGCTGTGGAAGTTGAAACTAGAATTGAGCTGTTTCTTGACTGGGGCACCTATTTCATATAGTTATTTAAATTGTTTTCCAGATATATTCGGTATTTCTGAAGTGGTTCCCAATTTTCCTCAGGAAAACAACTGTACAAAACCGGTAAGTAAAATGCAGGGTATTTTTCCATGGGCTGAATTACTCTTAACCTGACTTGGGAGATATAAATCCCACTCTGTGATTTATAATGAACAGTGCATGTGAGCAGCAATTTAAATTAGACAACTTATGGGGGGGGGGTTGTTGTTTTGGTAACCATAACATTTCTTTACTAAAAACCTCACAATTCCATTTTTCTGTTTGAAACCCTTCGTTTCCATGTTTCCAAAAGCACCCCAAGTGGGGAGATGGCTGCAATCGTGCTGGGGGTGGGGGGGGGGGGCGGAGATGGCGGAGATTACGCCCGTCTCTCCCTCCCCCAAAGTGCCCTGTTCATGCCTGTCTCTCCCTCCCCCAGCACACCCTGTTTGCGCCAGTCTCTCCCAGGAGCATGTGAAGATACTCACATCTGAACAAAAGTTAAAATGGTTTTCTGCACCACCAAATAAATCAGAAAGGTGAACAGCCCTAAAATGTTATAAGCATGAAGTAATCCTGACAATATTTTGTTTGCAAATGAAATTAAGAGGTATGCAGCATTAATATTCTGATCCTAAACATGGAAGTAAGTTTAATTAATGGTAATTATTTCAGTATTAATCTGTTTAAAGTTAGATGTTTCTTTTGAAAGAATTTCAAAAGAAATTCTTTCAAAAGAAAAAAGAGCATTTTTTGATCTGGTATGTATTTTAGTATTACTTCTGTAGAAGATGCTGTTGACTTCTTGTGTTAAAAAAAATCCTTATTGGAAGAACCAACATTTTGGAATGACTGATCTAAGCAATGTAGGACAAAGGTGATCTCACTATTGGACTGGATCCAGTCTTTGTAGCCTATAACTCTTAATATTTTAAGCACCCTCATCTCCCCAGAGTATATTTCGGCCTCTGTTGTGTGAGATGAGATCAGCATCTTACATCCAGCAGAAAATTACTGCTTAATTACCAACAATAAATCAGTGCAGCAATTCTTAAAAAACAAAAACAAAAGAACTCACTATGTAGCCAGAGCCATGAATATTGCTTGAGTGACAATAAACCAGCAAATACTACATAATAATTTAAAACATGTGCCGTGTACTGCTGATATAAGTGGTCCAGAAAGAGAGCTGACCTATGTACCATGGGCTGTTTTGACATTTTTGTTTGTTCAAAACTCCTATAGATGTTCAAATACCTGTATTGCAGTGTGATGCAAAACCCATAAGCAAAAATTGAGAGATAATCTGATAGTGAAAAGGTTTAACAGTCCCAGGTGTAAAAATAAAGAATGGTTCACCATAGAACCACTAAGTAAGCGAGAGTATATTTCTAGAATGATAGCTGAGATGATGTGGGACAGTCAATTAATTACTAGTTCTTGATTCACACAGGAGATGAACAAATACCAAATTTCAAAAAGGGTGTCTTCTCTGTTTCCCCCTTGGGAGTCTGTTATTTAATTTTTCAGAGATGGCCCAAATACCAGATCTTCACATACTGTATTTATGTCACACGGTTTGATCAGATTTTCCAGTGGCAGCCCATTTCTGTTCGTGTTGTTGTAAGGAATCTTCTTAGTGAGAAGAAAATTTTCTTTCACACTATATATGGACCGTGTTAATTTAGGGAAAGCTGTGGCCTTGAGTCTACAGTGTACTATAGATTGACAGCTATTTTACTATGTAATAGCTGGGTACCTGGTGGGGACAATGTGATGCTTGAGATAAAGGAGGTAGAGCAGAAGCTTTGCTTCCATTCTGGTGACAAAGCAACCATTTTCTTCTTCATTCTATGCAGAAAGTAGGGAGAAAGATTATTCATTCAGTTTTAATATTTTGTACCTCCTTTCCATAAAAGCAATGAAGGTGATATAGAACAGATCACAAACAGTAATGTCACAAAACTATTAGAACTAGTAATAAACATCACAAACATCTTTAAAGCAACAACACTACTAAAAACAGTCAAATGCCAATTTAAAAAGATGTCTTTACACCTTTTGTAAAGGCAGAGTAGGGAGCAATCAAAATGCAGAGAGGCGTGCATCCCACAAGCTGATAGCAATACTGGAAAAAAGCCTTCTTGTATATGTCTGTCAAGTGGGCCTTACTAGCTTGTACTAACACTTCTGGGAAGCTCAAATAAATAATAGTTTTTGGTAACAACTTGATCCTCCTCATAGATTACAATGTGAATAACAGCATAGGATAATAATAACTTTGAAGGTGAACAGTATGCAAAATACACATGTTCTCATGATGCATAAAGAATACAGAGAAGTATTTAGTCTAGAGATTACCTTAATAAGTCCTTTATGTTTATGAATTATTTTTACTAGTATGGTTTGCTTCAAACTTCACCTGATCTTAAATACTATTTTGCCTTATGTTCTACAATCCTGATGTTAAGTGTTCTTTTACTAGATCCTTTCAAAATCAGTCTTGGAAATACAGTTGTTCAAGATAAAAAATATTTTCATACATCTGTTGTGGATATATACACATGTGTGGATTGAAAAACAATGCATTTTAAAGTTAAAGTGAAGTATAATAACATGTAAAGATTTGAAACATTTGATAAATAAGGGAAGCATTCCTTCCTGCAGATAATCCATTTTTGTTTGTTTATTGGAGAAAGTCATTGCTGAGAAGAACAAAAGGAAACTAAATACTTGGGAGGTTAAAAACAGCCATTGAAATCAAACTGGTTTTCTAGATCAAGTTAAGCATTTTTCTTCCTGGAGTTTAGATGCATTTCAGGACACTTCCTGAGTCTGTCAAATTCATTATAGATGTGATACTAAAAGGTTCGTGGGGTGGAGCAGGGGGCACGTATGCTGAGGCAACAGTTTTTTTCTGAATAAACACTAAAAAAGTGTACCTAAGTAGCATTCTTTAAGTTTGGTGACTGGCTTTTGGTTGCTTTTGTGCATGTTGCCATGAATTGTGCCCAATGTTAGACCAATTTAAGTACTTTTTATTTCAGTGTGTCTACTCTAAGTAGAACTAGCATTGGCTACAATTCTATGTTTTAATTATTTTTACTTTCTAATGCAATTAAGGACATTTGGAGACAGCTTGGTCTTATCCAGAGTTTAAGGTATTTTATTCAGGCTTTTCTTCTATGGTGTGTAAAGCTCCACTTATCTGCTTAACCACTCAGATTTTTTTTTAGCTGGTGCAGGCATACAATTGTATGTAGGGACACTCTGTTGATCCTTAGGATGCCACACATTGAGCGATGGCCAGGCAGAAGCTTATCCATTCCCTGAGAATACCTATGATACACTAGCAGTATTTGGCCAGATAGAGGGGAAAAAATATTTTTTTTTTGTTTTTAAATCAGAGGAGGGTTGGGAGGCCTGCGGATGGGAGCTCCAGGTCATGGCATGACTATTGTGAATTAAGAAATTAAATCTGGGGCCACTTTTTATAAAGTTCTAGGAAATATTAATGTGAACATCTTACTGTGCTGACCTTGGCAACTTCCTAGAAGGCAGGATGTTGTGGCCCAAGGGGTTCCATTAATATATGGACAGTCAAATAATCACTGAAAGGGTGGGGTTATGTAGCCAGAATAGAAACTGATGCAAAGGGCCTGAAAATGAAAGTGGAGGAACATAATCTTCAAGGCCCAAATAATGCTTCCTATCTTACCTTCACAGAACTTTGCAGAAACCCTATGGAATGTTCTCCCACCATTCTTCCAAGAATTCCAAAATGGAATGCATGGTTTTCCTCGTCTCCCTGTGAGAGTTACTGACAGGCCCTAAATCCCCCAATGGGCTTCATGGCTGAGTGAGGATTAAAACCTGGATCTCCTGAGTCTTATTCTAACACTTTAACCTCTACACCATTCCAGCTATTAGTACATGTTTCATTCTGTCCTACCATGTCATGTGTCCAGGATATAACACAGTTATGAATAGAATGTTAAAGAACTTCATTCCTTCTTGTAAATTATGCAGACTTGACCCGTTCATGACCCCAAGTGTAAACATGGACAGGAACACAATCCTGTCGAAAAGGCACTCTCGCCTGCGCACACACTTCTGTGCATGCGCATCATCTCAGGTGCACAAATATGCATCTGCCACACCTGTATTTTCAGCCGCTGTTTAAGGGAAAAATGCACATTTTTTAGATGTTTTAATTGTGAAAAATAGATACTTAACAGTGCACATTTTTCCAGTCAAATAAAAGTTGATGTTGTTCAGGAACATGAACACTGTGGGAAAAAAGCTTTGAGGAAGAGAAAATAAGCTTTGGAGAAGCTCAGCAGGCTCAAACACTGCACATTCGCCCCTCCCTAGCTGCGAGAGCTGATTTCTGCACAGTGTGCATGGTGTAGATTGGGCCCTGTCTTCTACCCAATGCTCCCTTGGCCTCAGCAGAGAGCCTGCCCTGTGTCCCTTTGCAGGCAACAGCAGGAAAACCGTAACACATCATGAAAATACTGCCCTACATAGAGGACAGGTACAAGACTGGACAGGTACAAGACTGGGCTTTCTGATAAATGTGCAGATTTTGGTGAGTTGGCTGAAGAATTTGCAGTATTATTTTGGTGTTACTATTTTTGCTTACATGAGAACAATCTAAGTTAAGGAGAGAAATGCAATATTGCATTGCAGTTGCTACTACTGTTAATTTGCTCTCAATTGGTGACTTTTGACTGACAGTACTTTCAGATTTTCACACCTGCTGAAGATGACACAGCTGTAGGACCTGCTGGGGAGTAGCACAAAGGCTTGCATTTTTCAGCCAGCTTCATTTAGGCCTCATTCTCACTATTTAATAATTGGATTTCAAAGAGAGCTGTTGATTCAGATACAGTCCATCTGTTTTGTTAAATGCCCAGCTGTAGACATGTGACATCCCTTTTTTACCCCACATTGCTCCCTTCGATAACAGGTTTAATGGTCACAGGCTCCTAAGAAGCAATGTGATTAGCAGATGTTAAAAGGGGACGTTTTTCAGCAGGTTCTTGGTGTGAAGTGGTAATTTGAGAGGTCTTGTGTATGGGCTTGCTAAGGTCTGATTGATGGGTTGTCTGGCTTAGACTCTGCTAGTGCTTTGGAAATTACCTCATTTCCACCACTACCCTCCCCACTCCATTGAGGCCAGGTGGAAATGTTTATGTGGAGAGCAGCCAGAGTGCCATTTGTACAGCTGGAAGACTGCTGCTTCCCATAAGCAAATCAAGACAAAGTATAATAACTCCTCCCTTACTCAAGACACACTGGATGCATTTATGTTGAGGACCTGTTGTCATGTGAAGGCACAAAGTGCCCTAGAAATTAGCAAGGGTTCATTGTGTTTTATCTACTGTGCCTCTTGCTAAAGTATAATGACTCAAAGGAGCAAATTACCCAAGATGGGTTATATTCTAATCCAAGAGAATGTTGAAGATTTCTTGTTATCTATGTTGACTTTTATTTCATTTCCTTTGTTTTACAAGGTTATCCTTCTATAATACTAAATCTAAATTAAATTGAAACTCAAATAGGTATGTCCATTTATCTTCTTTGCAATATCGATACTTCCTTAAGTGCTTCACAAATAATTAGTAATACTATTAAACTCTAACCTTTAAGAGGAGTTCTCATGGAACATCTACTGTTGTTCAGGACTTTCAAGTGTGAAGGGAATTTCAGGAGGAGCATGGAGGAGAGAATGGCATCTCTTTTCTTTCCATTCCCCTGAGGCTATATAACCAGAGAATTCAGGTTTGGGGCTGGTGCCTCAAACTGTTTCATAGCTCTGTAGCAGGAGGGTTCTGTAGAAGGGTCCTTCCTTCCTCCAGTGACATCCCTGTAGAGTATAAAGGAAAAAAAATGGGTTTTTAAACTTTATAGTATGTATCTCCCACATCCCCCAGTGTCCCTCTTTCCCAATGCTTTCTTGCAACCCCTGTTCTCTTCATGAGTCCTTCTCATGTTCTATACATGCACACACATACATTCTGCCCCCAACATACCACTGCTTTATAAGCTTTTTTATTTTTTGCATACTCAGAGAATTTCTAGTGCTTATAGGAACCATTGCTTAATTTCTGAGGTGTCCCCATTTGGTTTCCAAAATGATTAGTGCCCAGTCACCCATGTTCAGTAATTGAGGAAATAATATTATCAAATGCCTCTGGATGCCTGTTGCTGGGAAACACAAGTAGTGAGTGCCATTGCATTCATGCTATGCTGTGGGGTTCCATAGGAACCTGGTTGTCTACTGTAAGAATAGATACTGGACTATGTACTACTAGGTAGGTCTTTAAGTCTGATTCAGCATTGCTTTTTGTGTTTTTAATGTCATAAAATAAAATCACATGGCATCAGCTTTACTCCATCATGTCATATCCATATTGTGAATTAAATTACACTGAGTGAAGCATTTCCAGGAATCATATTTCAAATCATATTTCAAAGCCCAAGGATATGCCCTTGCATCAGATGAAAAGACTCTCCTGTACGTGGGACATTTGTGCATATTCTTCCATCAAAGATCACTGCCTAAGTATCCCTTTCCCTTCATTATTTCCCTTTACTGCTTCTGGGCCATATCCTATATTCCTTTATTTGACCTGCCCTGCACTGGGGTAAAAAATGGAGTCTGGTAAATAAAGCATTACATAATTTTTTCTAAATGTTTGAAAAGTTGCTTGACCTTTCAGCTGATTTAATTGTGATTGTTATAACTTAGGTACAACTCAAGCATAATTCACAGTATTCATAACTTTATGGTGAGAAATGGAAGGAAAACTAGCGCATAAGCATGCACACAAACTTTTTCCAACGCTATCACTCATGTCTTTCCAACAGTCATTTACAAGTGACTAGCAGAATATTTGCATTGACCCTAATAATGTAGCAGGCCTGAACCCTAAAAGGCCAGGCCTGGGTCTCTAGCTCTTTAAAATGCTGCTTCACTTGGCATTAAAGTCTAGGTGCTTGCAACAAAGCTTTAGTAAGCATTCCCCTGACGGTCTGCCTGCATGAAACTAAGGCGTTTCCCTTTCGCACATTAAGATGGTACAAGGATTATGCACACTGCACATCTGCAGCCTTGAATGTTCCTTATCAGTAGCGGTAACAAGCCAATGCTTTGATGTTAGACAGAGATGGAACGTTGGCTATCCAAACAGGAACTCTTCATAGCACCTGTGTAAATCATAGTATCAAAACTATCCCAGTAGCCATATCTTTTAATTGTGTAGAATGATGTATGCATGCACTGAATACCGTAAGTTTGTGATCTATAAAAATCACTTTCTTTGTGCTCTGGTTCAGAGTGTTTTTGAGAGGGATTCTGCTGCTTTTATTTGAACCTAACTGACTGGGATCCCACTTTGCAGAAGTCTTTGCTTTGTGGAGTTAAGAGTATTGCTGCTAAATGTTATGGAGGTCTAACTAGTTTGTTTGGTATTATTGCAATAATAAAATCTCCTTAGTAAACCTGGAGTTGGCTTATCACTCTCTGGAAATCTGAAAAAATCCCGTTGCCCACAAGAATACATACACGTATTTATTAGATACCTTGAGCATTGTAGGAAAAACAAGATATAGTTTGCATGCTTGAATGTTTTTTGTTTTCTTCTTAAAAGCACCTGTTATATGAAGGGTATATGAAATTCATACTTTAGTGAGTAAATTATTAGTGCTTTGCATATTGTTGAAAAAATACAGTTGGTGAAGATACCTATACTGACAAGCTGCACTAAATAATAAAGAACTCATTCACTGGGGGAAAAAAACTTAAATAGGGCACTGTGTTTTCTGCTTTGCTTTGATACTGTGTAATGGGGAGCAGCAATCTGTGGGGTCTGCAAGTCTGGCAGCGAGAGAGAAAGAATGGGCAGGAAGCAACAGCTCAGCTGAAGAGCCAGCCAGTGTTGGCGAGCAGGCACACCTCCTAAGTTGGTCTGGGCTTTCTTTGGCTTGAAGGCAGAAGTGCCAGTTGGCAGAATAGAGGAAAATGTTGCCCCTTAGTTCTCTCTCTGATCTGCCAGGAACCCATAAATGTGGCCTCTGTCACAGCTTTGGCATTGCTTTTGCTGCTTTCCAGACCCACCCACTTTCTGCTAGTATATTATACTGGACAGAAATTACTTGCCAATGGGTCTGGGAAGGCATTTTATTATCGTACCTTCATTATAATTGGCTAATACATTGCAAGATTTTTGTCTTATTCAGTTCAAGATCATCCCCTTGACCCTTTTGCTTGCCATATTCTGCACCTTTTCTGGCTCTATATCCTTTTCTGTTGTGATAGGGTAAGCAAAGCTGTGCATGATATTCCAAATGCAGCCACAACATAGATGTGTATAGAGGAAGTATGATGCTGAATATTCGGCCTTTTCCCTAATTGCTCCCTCTAACCATGGATAGCTGCTAAATGTCAACAGGAGTGTAGCTAAAACCAGAGCCACTGAAAAATAAGAGCAAGGTCAGTATGTTTGTGAGTGTCCCGAAGTTTGCAGAAGTACAGGAAAATATTTGGGGGGGGGAGTGAGGGTACAAATACCCCCAACAGCCTAGTGAAGACAGTTACAAGGTCAGTGGCCATAAGTTACTGAGTGTTTGTGGAGAGGAGATAACAGGCATGTGCTGGAACAGCCGGCTTGACTGAGTGGCTGTCACACTGAACATGAACATTCCCTGCTGCAAGTTTTTGTTGCTGGTTCCACTTGTAATTCCCAACATGGAGTTTCACAAATATTTTCAATGTTAAATCTAAGAACTGTTTTATGAAAGGATGTGATGCAGTTAATGGATAAGGGCTATTCAGAGACACATGCATTTTAAACTATATTCAAATGCTTTCCTTTATGTCCTTGGAAAACAAGTGAGTGGGGAATAATTTCAAAAGCAGATAAAGAGGAAATAATTTCACTTTCCACATGGAGTTACTGTATATTCTATTTCCATATTGTCTGTATTTTTCTTGGACTGTTTCGCTGTTAATCTCATCAGTGTCAAAAACTGATGGACCTTATCATAGCTAAACAATTCTGTTGTCTTCTATACAATTTTATTGCCAACTTGCTATGGCACCATTAAGTATTTCTGATGAGTTTACCTGCTGCTGCACTGATGCAACAGCAATAGTGTGAAATAAGAGATTGGACCAGTACTGCAAGTAGATATTTGTTGCATATATTGAGGATTTAAAACAAAAAATTAGCTTCTTGTCTAAGGGTGATCACACAAATCAATTTATATCAACTTTTTGTGCTTGGTTAGATGGTTAAAGTACAGATATCTGCTTAAATAAGCATCCTTGCTAGATTGGAACAAGTATTCTTCCAATTTGGGGGCATTTAAAATATATTCTAATGCTACTAATATCCCATGTGGTCTCTTTCTTACAACACTGCAGAAGCACTTAGGGCACAATCCAATGGGAGTGTCCATAAGCCTTTGACCTTGGAGAATTAACGGCAAAACTAAGATCATGGCATCCGGTCCTATCACTTCCTGGCAAATAGATGGGGAAGAAATGGAGGTAGTGACAGATTTTATTTTCCTGGGCTCCAA